GCAAGAATGCTACATTAGACCCCATAGCTCAGCTCTACATGATCTTTCTCTACAAGTATACATGTGAGACTAAACTGAAACGTGATCATCATAGGGTTAAGTATCTCAAATCCTAACTAGAGTTCAAGACTAACTACGACTAACAAAACGCAAATCAACCTTACAGAATGTTCATTCTTCAATAAGCATGAAAAATCATCTCGACCATATGAAGGAATATTTTTCAATATATTACCATTAATAAATTTTAATTTCAATATATTATGAAAGTAAATCAAAACTTTTTAATCTTTTCTGCAAATATATTAATCTTTTATCTCACGTTATACAATTTCTTAACAAAAAATATTGAAAATTTATGAGACTGATTAGAAAAAACTTTTGCAATAAATAAAATATTAATAAAATATATTTGTCAAAAATTAATACTTGTAGACTAATATATATCTACGATGAAATAGATATAATCTTAATATAATACGACAATGTTAGAGAAACTGGTTTTTATTTGTAAGTTGAAAATTTCTGGAATTCTTATTAATCATGAAAGTACAAAAAAGAAATAAGTAATTAAGTTTATGAATTTTTTTTTAGAAATAAAATTTTCATTAATTTTGCCATTGATTTATTTCAAGCATAAAAAATTCCATATTAGAGCGTAAATAAAATTCAAATAATTTAATTAAATTTTTTATACCATTGATTTTCAATCTTCTGCTCATAATTTTTTCATTTATTATCACATATATTTCATCATGTAGTTAATATTACACAATTAAAGTCATTGAACATATGAATATAAAAAAATTTACGTATTTTCAAAGTAAATAATTTACACCCAACATTTCAAATTGAAAGTTCTTATTTCGAAATTTTTGTGCAAAATCTATCATTTTCTTTATGATTTAATGGCTTTAAATGTCACAATGCAAAAGTCATGAATTGCAAAAACTTTAAACTATCAACCTGACGTGAGAATCAAGTCAATATTAAATTTATTTTCAATAAATAAATGAAAACTTAATTAGATCAGTTCCTACAAATCCTTGTAAACTCCCAAAAGATTCAAAGCACGATTAAATATCTGAGATTTTTTCCTCTTTGTTGGAAATTTTTGTTGTAAAATTACTTACAAACATCATTGCATTCTTTGTAAGATCTTTTGTTGCTTTCACTGTTTGATCTGAAAACTATCCATTAAGTTTTAAAGTTTTATAGCATAATTCTTAAAATACTAAAGATTTTAGAATTACTTTTGTGTTTAAGATTGATTTGCTAAGACTGGAAAGTAGACAAAACATTACAAACTGCATCTTGTGGTCTCAAATTGGTTTGATAAGCCTGACGAAAAAACTTGAGGATTTTTTAGCACGAAGAGAATAATTACGTGTCATGTCACTCCAACATATATCTCATTCAATCTTCAAGTTCGGAATAGAACAAAGGCATGAAACAAAAGATTATTGAAAACAAACACTTGAACCATTTATCTGATTTCAGAAGGTTCAACTTGGAAAATGTATTTATATACAGTTACTCATGATTTTCAAATTAGTTCACATTTCTTAACAAAGAGAATCGATAAAACAAAATAAAATTGCGAAGAAACAATCCTCTTCCGAAGTACTCTCCTGCCTCCCGTCATCGCCCTCGAGATTACAGAAATCAGGAAGACATGGTCGAAGTGGTAAGATACGCGAAGAAGAAAGTTACAACGAGATCGCCGTTTGAAAGTTCCTATCGTTGGCTTATTCGATTGTACCAAATTAATTTACTGCAGCTCCCCTCCACAAGACAAGACCGCCTTCAGTCACTTGAGGCGTAGGCCCAGAAACCTAAAGAAAGAAAGAGAGAGAAGGAAGAGTAAATTGGGTTTCCTCTCTCTTGATGACAATATTCTTGTGTCCTGCTCCTTGGTTCATAAAGTCAATAGTCTTGGAATCCATGCATCCAGCACACATAGTGGACTTTGTTGGCGTTGACAGTCCATCAATGCCATGGATGGAATGTAATGTCATCCGTGTATCTTACATGGATGTCAGCGATCAATTTGAGATTTCTCTGCTTCGAGACTATTCTTTACTTATATTTGACGGTTTAATTTCTCCGCAAGTTTGCATTTCTATCATAGTTTCTGGCTCCGAACAATGTGCCAAAAGACGCACTTCCAACAATAACCTCGTCGTTCTCCTCTGAACGAATGACGTCAACGAAGGTTGCGTGATACCCTGACAGCATATGAGCTCGCAAATCACATTTGTACACGGAATCACATTTGACAACTGCAACAGAAGAAACGAGCAGAACTATGCATTTCGATCTGTAACAGCATAATACTATCATGGGGCAGCTCGGATGGATAAATTTGATATCAAAGATATGTATTGTCAAGGCAAGGCACAAGGTGTCTCTTGTATCAATGGTTCGTGTATGAAAAGAGGGGTATCGACAGGATGTGAAAAGTCAGCAGTCAGCTTAAACTTTAAAGTTATGCTCACCAGAAGGTTCCGAACAGAGGATGATCATGAATCTAAGACGCGTAGAACACACACCAACTGAAATTTGACCAACATAAGTCTACGAGGAAAACAATGTTATATATCTGGAGGAAAACAATGTTATATGTCTGGACGTGAGAGCACTCAACAAATTACCACTTTGCAGCTGGAGGAGTATATTCTCGTGCGTGACGTTGCCAGGAGGGGGAATTTCCTCGACGAAGTAGTCCCCCTCCCGCAGAGCATGAACACGAAGACATCGTCTTCGGTTATGTGAAAAAAAATTTGAGCCGAGTCCTAAGCGATTCCCGGTACCATCCAGCACGCACGGACTGGGCATAGACGACAATTAATTACGCTCGCTTCACTGCGCTTCGGAAATGTGCATATATGCATTGACTGTCTCGGTAGTGTCAGAAGAAAAAGAGGGAAGTGTGCCCCAGGGCTCAAGTAAACGGAGAGAGCTAGTAGTAGCCCGGATGCTTGCTCTCCGAGACATCTCTGTCCAAACCCAACAAAAAAAGTTACGTAGATAACGTCGCTGGTTCGACCCAGTTCTCGGAGTATGATCGATCTGTTTTCGAAATCTTAAGACGTCGACCTTTCTGCAAACGGAGAGAACATCGACAGGTCACCGTTTTCAAAACAAAATCGAGTTTCCGCGAGGGCATCTGTGGTCCTTGCCGGTCAAACATGAGAGGGGATCAGAATTCAGACTGGTGGAAACAATCTGGTGGGCGAATGATAAAGACGAACCGCAGAAGATATCTAGTGGCTCTGCTTGCGCTCTCGGTGCTCGCGTTGCTGGCGCTGCAAAACTACGACAAACGACGCTGTGCGGAGAAGAGACCTGCGACAGGCTCGAGTGCCCGGCTGCAATTGCAATCCAATGGGTCGGACTGTCAGAGAATATGTGGCAACGTCTCGATTCCCTACCCCTTCGGACTTACACCACAATGCGCTTACAGCTCCTACTTTGTGCTGGACTGCAGGACCGACCTGGGACCAAATCTCAAGCAACCGGCCACGGACCCTTTCGAACAATGGCCGGTTCTGACTCACATAGCGACCACATCCACTCTCAATTACTCTTTCGAGGTGAATTTTCTGCCAGTAACGCAAATTACATCTAACTCCATCCTCATAGATACGACGAATATCAAAGATATGGGCTGCGGGAAGTCGGTCACTGCCAGCCTTGTTCTGGACGCGCAAAGCCCCTACTGGATTTCTGATCAGAACGTCTTCATCGTCGTATCTTGCAATGCTCAAGGATCGGCTGTGGGTGATGGTACTCCTTGGAGTGGCAGTTTTAACACGACGTGCGGTCCAGTTTCGTGTGTCAACCAGTTCGTGATGCCGTACTGTGGCGGGTATGACTGCTGCGTTCAGGCCATTGGAGCGACGAAGAGCCTAACGATCACAGGGGGATCATACTCGACAGATTGTGGCTTCTCCACCGTTTTGAATCCAAATTCATCTGGTGATTATGGTGAGGGATACTACGGTGTCCATGTGTGGTATTCCATCCAGAGGGGGCCGGATATTCACAACTGCTCTGAAGCTGCAAAGGATTCTGAGAAGTTTGAATGCTCCATGGCTGCAAATTGCACCAACTTTAAGAACGTCGGCTACTATTGTAGTTGCGTTAAGAAGGGTTACAGTGGAGATAGTTATAAAAATGACACTGGCTGTGAAGGCAAGTTGAGGCTGATAATTTTCTCATGCATGGAGGATTTGTGCCGGTCTTGTTTCAGATCCTTAGCTACCTTGAAAATCTATGTCTCAGATGAGAGCTACTAGTTCGATTCCCGAGACCGTAACTGCCGCTTTTATCGTTTCACTAAGTGCATGGCATGCGTCAACCTATTCCTTTGCACACTCAATTCTCGGTCCGTTGCGGAAATCTTGGTACTGCACGGCGAAGATGCCGCACTGTCTGCTTGAAACTTAAAGCTTTCAATTGTATCGGATCCTTTTCACTTGATTAGCTCTTAGACTCGACTGTAAGGTTGGGAATCCCTTGGCTAACATGACTTGTGCTCATGCCAGATATCAACGAGTGTGAATGGGGGAACGATTGCTTGAGTCTTCCTCACCATTATCGCAACTGCAACTTTACTGTATCTTCGTATGAGGCTTTGGCTCCACTTACACTACATTGAAACGGAATCTGCACCGAGGGGAAAGTGCTAAACAGTTTATCAGCATGCCCTGAGAACGTATAAGTATTGCTACATGCGTCAACTCCGACGGGAGCTATCAGTGTAAATGCCCTAACTCAATGGAAGGCAATGGTGAAGATCCCAAGAATTTCGCAACTGGTGTAGATCCCAAGAAATTCGGAATTGGTTGCATTTCCCGTGCTCAAAATGGAGCGTATTTTTCATGTATTGGCACATTTTCAGAGTCTTGTGTCATGCAAGAATGCCTGCGGAAATCATCTGGTTATGTGAAAGTCTAGCTTCACAAAGATCAGTTCTCATCATAAATCTGGTGTTGCATGTGAAGGTGTCCAAACAGGAGTACTAATTGCCGTGTGCCTGGTATCTGGAATATTCGTGTTACTTCTGAGTTGTTTAGTCATATTCTTCACGTGGAAAATGCGAAGACACAGTCGTGAACTTCAAAACATACTGGAAGGTTAGTTGTCAGCATACGATATTGAGGAATCACTTGGCTCATCGTCTTGAGAATGATCTCCTGGTTTCAACCTTGTGAGTGAAAAAAAGCTGCTCCTTCGTATTCGTATTAACGCTAGTAACCTTGACTTCTCTCAGAATTAGCAAAAGACCACGTGAAGCCACCGTTTTTCAGCTACGAAGAACTCAAAACGGCTACACATAGTTTCTCTAGTTCCAACGAGTTAGGAAAAGGTGGATTTGGCACTGTTTTCAAGGTAATACTCCTGACTTTGTCTTATGCACATCTCTTCAGCCTCTATAAACCATGGTAATGATATTTCATTCATTTTTTCTGTCAGAGTAAGTCTGTATCCTGAATTTGAATTTATAGTCATCTGTTTGATCAAGAAGGTCTAGAAAGTGGAGGGAGCCCATCGAAGAGTAACAAGTAACTGTCTATGACAGGCTGAACTAGCAGATGGCAGTGTTGTTGCTGTGAAGAGACTCAATCCGACAAAGCAGAGTACGTCGGACTTCTTGAAAGAAATGGTAAACATCTCGGGTATCAAACATAGACATCTGATTCAACTCAAGGGATGTTGTGTAAGGGATCACCAACGAATGCTGATTTACGAATACGCGGAGAACAAGAGCCTCGCAGAAGCACTGTTTGGTGAGAAAATATTGAGTTCTTTAATGATAATTTATCTACTAGAATCACAATAGATAGAAGTTTTTTCATGTATATTAAGCTAGCGAGCAAGAATATTGGGCTCCATTGTTTGTTTGGAAGGATTCTGAGCTTTTATTACGAAGGGTTTAAGTGGATGTATCGGATATTAAGCAACCTACACGTATGTGGGACTAAGAAGGGGAGAGTTTTTGTCTTCGGACTCACTTGTATAATAGAATAGAGAGCATGCGGTTAAACACTACGAAGAATTTAATGATTTTCTCAGAGTTTTATGTATGCCGCTGACCAACAGGATCAGGTCCTCAATGTGCGACCGTCTTGAACTGGAAACAACGTTACAACATATGCTTGGGAATAGCCCGTGGACTTGCGTACCTACATGAAGAATTGCAGCCGGGTATGATTCACAGGTGAGAATGCTTAGACTCCAAGCTCATCTGCAAACCTTCCACATTTTGATTCTGTTCTGTATAAGACACATCTGAAAAGATGAGAAGAGGATTGAGTCTCTTCACAGCATTTTAACACCGAAAGCCCATGATGTATGATATCTCATGCAGCTTGTACCGTGACGACATGCGAAGGCACATATCTTGGAGTTTTCTGCATGCTTGTGCTTCGTTTAGGACTTATTTTGAGGTGTGTGATTTCTCCGCTTTATACACTGACACCCGCCTCTGAAATCTCAGAGACATAAAGCCGGAAAATATTCTTCTTGACAAGAATTATAACGCAAAGATTGCCGACTTTGGACTCGTCCGGCCCGCTAATGATACAAACGACACTCTATTCACCATGAACATTGGAGGAACGAGGTACTTCTAGAGGGCGAATTGGTTCATGTGTATCAAATGCACGACAGTTGCACTCAATTGGTGAGACTCGCAGTTGAGACTTGAATGTGTTATGCCCTTAGAGCAAGGCACTAACAATTTGGATGACTTTCCATGCAACTACAGGGGCTACTTTTCACCAGAGTATGCACTAGAAGGCGTTGTATCCGAGAAACTGGATGTGTATAGCTTTGGTGTTGTCTTGCTGGAAATCGTTGCTGGAAGACAGTGCATCGATCTGAAGTTGCCACAGGAACAAAGTATTCTACGCTCCTGGGTGGGTGATTCTTAAATTACACTGCATTATTATAGCACGAACATTCCAAATCGAGATCATAAAGCTTCAGGCTTTCAGGAGAAACTCATCTGCCTCCTTTCTTTGCTACTCCTGCCAATTTCATTCATCAAATCATGCGCAAATCTCTTCGCTGCTATATTCCTCTTCGGCCTCTCACACCCTCATGAAATGCGCAGGCTATAACGTTGTACACGGAAGGCAAGGTTTTGAACTTGGTCGATAAAAGATTAGAGGGCGATTACGACGAAGAAGAAGTCCTGCTCGTGGTGGACATGGCTCTATCTTGTCTGCAAACAGATCCCAAGAAACGCGCAACGATGTCTCAACTGGTGAATTTCCTCATGAAGAACTCAAATGCAAGTGTAGGTGTGGAGATCGTCAACGAGCTAAAATCCCAGACACCATACATGTGGAGCATATCGGAGGACGAACACAACGTGGATCCTTATGCTAGTAGCCAAGGCGTTCAAGTAGAATCAGACGAACTTGCTTTAATGTCATCATTTGCCACCGAATCACACGTCTCGGTTAGGATAGTGCGTACATGAGCTCATAAAGTATCTCAAGTTCCTAGATTAGGTCATCCGTACCCTATGTCTCTCCCAGATATCTGAGTTGACATTACCTTTGCGTGTACCCTTGAGCCACTGACGTAGGGAGATCAGTGCTTACCTTGAACAAGAGTCCATTTACTTTATGCTCCGTCCAATTTCAACCAACTGCATTCCGATCGTGAGTTATACAAGGGTCACATAATTCAATACTCTATGTAGTTCCAAGCATCTGCATTACTTATTCGTTGAACTTGCTGGTTAGATTAGTTAGTTAGTTGCTAGTTGCTAGCTAGCTACTACATGTCAATATAGATTGTGGATTGAATACTACCTAATTTAGAAACCAGAATTATGTAGGAGAGAAAAAGTATAAATCTTAAGATGATAGTTTAGAAATCTTAATGTGAACTGATTAGCTTTTTTAAGGTCTTCAAATATGACTATATCAGTCATTATTGTAGTCCTTCTTGACCATGCAAAGACTTCACTCTGGATGGCAATAAAATACTTATGTAAACTCCAAAATTAATATTTTACTATATCGGGACTCAAAACTTGTCTATCTAGATTTTCTGTTTGAAAACATAAGCAATGTTACAACATCACATTTTCACTATTGAGACACAATTTAATCTCTATAGAAATACTTGATATTATGACTCTATATTATTCTAGTGGGTCAAGCCGAGTATGGTGTTAGGATTTTCCCCTCGTTGACGAAGTCCATTCACCTGCAGACAACAACTTCATGAAATTTACATCTCACGTTGAAAAATATCAAAATACTAATTTTTGTAAATACTCTGTGTGCTGTTGTGACATGGCTAGTATGATAAGCAAAGATGACTCATGTCATCTTTATAGAGGAAGGGTGTTGATGAATCATCCTTTGCTGCATTGCAGATAAGAATTGCTTGCATCATCATCCACAAAGCCAAATTTAAGGTCGGTAAATTAAGAACTTTCTAAAGCCACAGAGTTTGCAGAGAAAGCAGGCTATGAAAGCTCATAGTGAACTTCGATGGAGAACAATCGAGGGACCTATTCAGAGCAACTTTGCAGATTCTAAGGTGCCTTCACGGGGGAGTTCACAGAAGTAGCAATTAGTTCTGTCGCTTAACGAGAAGGCTTCAAGTGTAAAGATTGAACAATGGAAACACTCTAACCCTTTGATCAAGAAACGGACATCAACCATAGCCATGATTTACTCCCAGAGAATGACTAGAAGATCGCAAACAAAAACATAGGGTATATCTCGGTACGTTCGGTTGGTGGACAGCCTCATGATCGTCTTCACATCACACATCTGAGAAAATTTGTAGCAAATTGAATATATGTGAACTTTAAGTGATTTAAACGACAAAAACAGTGTGATGGCTGGATGAGATGAAGTGAGTGCAAGTTGAGGCTGATAATTTTCTTTTATACTTTTTGGCACAGCTATCATGTTTACAAGATAGCTTTACACCACCAAACCCCAAGTAGACCGGATCACGATAGTCCTCTGGATGGTCAATCCAAGGGCGTTGAGTCTCTGATGGCCCCCAGGCGGGTTGTCCCCTTGTAAAAAAGGTTTTTGCTTTTGGTTTTAATTGAAGAGGTCTGCGGCCTGACTGAGCACTTTTCTCTGTAGTGAGAATGTTCCCGCATCGAGCAGAAATATTGTTTCCTATTCTCGTGCATCTAGAATTGCGATTTCTGGCCGTCTTTTTGCAGATCCTTCGCTACCTTGTAAATCTAAGGCGATGAGAGCTAATAGTTCGATATCCGAGACCGGAACTGCCGCTTTTATTGTTTCACTAAAAGCATGGCATGCCTCAGTCTCTTACTCTGCACACTCAATTCTCGGTCCGTTTCGGAAATCTGGGTACTGCACAGCGAAGATGCACTGTACTCATGAAACTTAAAGCTTTCAAATATATCGGATCCTTTTCACTTGATTAGGTCGGAGACTCGACTATAAGCTTGGGAATCCCTTGGCTAACATAAGTTGTGCTAATGATATTAACGAGTGTGAGAGCTCAAACAATTGCTCCAATATCGCTTCACGCGTCAACACCTATGGGAGCTATAAATGTGAATGCCCTGATTTATGGAAGGCAATGGTCTAGGTCGGGTTCCCTCTCCCTTGGTGACAATATTCGTGTGTCCTGCTCCTTGCTTCATGAAGTCCATAGATACGCGATTCATTACACGCCAACACAGCCCATCATGGATGCTGGATGCATGGATGGACTGTAATGTGATCCGCGCATCTTACATGGATTTCAGCATTCAATTTGAGATATCTCTGCATCGAGAATATTCTTTACTTATATTTGTAGTGACGGTCTAATTTCTCCGCAAGTTTACAATTCCATCATAGTTTCTGGCTCCGAACAATGTGCCAGAAGACGCACTTGCAGCAATAACTTCGTCGTTGCGTTCTAGTGTACCATGCAGTGGGAAATATCAGTAATGTGAATGTTTAAGCTACGTCAACCCCCATGCGAAGTTACATTAGGAGATCAAATCAGAATATCAAGTCGTTCGTGACCTATTGTCTGTTCATGCGTGAAACCTGGTATATAGAGTGCTTCCGTCCCATAGCCAGCCTAGGAAGAACATCAACCGGCGGAGTGTGAGAAGTTTCCTGCTATATACAGTTCAAGTCCAGTGAATTTCTGACTAAGTTCATAGTAGGGAAAACGATTTTTTTCGTCCAATCTCGCATCTGTACAAGATTCCAGTTAAGAGCGGAGTGAGTGTTGAATACGAGATGTCAATAGCCATGTGTATGGAAAGCTGCGCTGTGGGAAGAAACTCATTCTTTGCATGTGCTTGAGTGCAAGGCTCGTCTGGTCGTCGATCTGAGCCTGGGTGGTGCAGGGAAACGGAATTCCACATACATAGTACATCCCCATCTACCGATGATCAGCGTTTCGATCGGGCGGGAATTCGAAGTTGCAGCTGAAGTGGGTGATTGAATTGGAAGGGTCGGAGTCCTGCCCTTGGACGGGAGACCGAATCAAATCAGAAACTTAACATGGAATTTGGTGTGGTTTCGGGGCGAATCCTAATTGGGAATTTCTATTTCAGTATATGTATGTTATGAGTGAGTTTATAATAATATGATATATGATAGTTTGAGAAATAATATTATGTAAATATTTATTTTGGATTATGTAAAAAAATTTATATTTTTAGATTGAATACATATAATTATAATTTTAAGCTAAAATATCTATATTTGAATTTCCATGATATTCTTATATGTGTATTCAAATTTTATAAAAAAAAAATTAATGTCAATTATCAAATAAATAATTTTCAAATATATGAATAATAAATTCATTGATTATTATGTTATAATTCAGATTACTTTTATAAATATCAAATTATTTTTAATTATGATGTGTTGATTGAATGTAATCAGTTATTCAGTATTGTTAAAGTATGAATTTCAACTATTTAAAAATATTTTCAACTAAAAATTGAGCTGCTGTTATATAACACAATAATTAGAATCTAGTGAAAAGTTGATTAAATCAAAATATAATATGTATATACAATTTATAGAAATATTCAAATAAGATTTATAATAATACAAAAAAAAATGTTAAATATAATGGATTATATATGAATTGTCTGCAATCGTCATATATATTTGAAAGATTTTGTCACAATACACTTCTATTGAATTTTTTAAGTTGAAAAAACACACATGACAATCTTGTATTTATGAGATTTAATACATATGAATATTAATTTGTAATCTAAAGATGAAATGAGAAACTTAGTATAATATCTCATTCATGCAAATATTTAAAAATCTATCAAAAGAAAAATTTATCAAATCTTTTTAAGGACTTATAAAAAATAGTAGCTCTTACAATCATCTTGACTGAGTACTGTGCAGTTATAAATTAAAAATAACGTCTTATAAGATCAAACAATCCTTGACTAAAGTTTTCATAGATCAATGTCAAAATAAATAAAATCAAATTTAAAATGGCCTAAAAATGAATCTAGAGTATATAAATATGAAATGATAGTTTGTTTAGATTTTGATACAAAAGGTTGCCAATGATTAAGAGCAATCATGAGTTTTTTTAGTATCATCATCTTTAAAATCATATGGAATCAGAGTACTTAGGAAATTTGGCACAATGAATATAAATCTTGTTGCAAAGATGAAAAATCATCTATACCATATGAAGAAAAAATTTTCAACATGTTTCTAAATTTAAATTTGATTTTTAATAGATTGAAAAAAAAAATATTCAAAATATCACTCTCTTGGCTTTGGCTTTAGTTATAAAATTTACCAAAAAATTCATAACATTAAATTGGAAAAACCTTGTGCAATAAGCAAAACAATAATCATCTAAATCTATCTATAATTAAAGAGAAATTTGCTTGATGGGAACTGGGAAAACGCTGACTGCTTGATGGGACCCACTACATTACATCGTACCCTATGGACCCCATCCGATGGGTCAGCGTTAGTTATGTTCTTGTAACTGCTTTGTTTCCACTTCAATGAAAAAATAAAATTCTTCCCGAATTTAAGTTAGTCAGATTTCCCATACCCCCCATCTTCATCGTGCAAGAGCCCAATTTCTCACGTTCAATAATGATTTTACAATTATAATGTATGGGCGTAATCTACTTACTTCTTACTTATATTCCTAAAACTCTTGGTTGAGGTCATGTAAATTGCGTATTTTGGTCCGTGAAGTGCATGCGAAAAGAAGTCACTTTTCAACAAAGAGCCGCAGTGCTTTTCCTAACCCGGATTGAAAACAATTACAAGAACTCGCAGTAGAACATCTGTGACGGTGGATTGAACTTCCGTCAGAAGGGTCCGCTCTGGTAACATAGAACATATTGGGTCCCATCAAGCAGTCAGCGTTCTAATGGGGTCCATCAAGCAAATTTCTCACAGTTAAGATTATAATGAGAATTCTCAGATTTATGAATTAAAGAAATTGGTGAAATTCTATTTTAGATTTGCCAGTACAAAAAACATCAACATAAGCAGCATGTTTGCATAATTTTTTTTTATTTCATATTCATTAATTTATCCATGGATAGAAATTTCCAATTAAAAAAAAATTCAATTGTAATTGAATTTTCAATTTTCCATATAGTTGATTTCCAATATTTTGCTCTAAATACTAAATATTTTCCATTTACTATCATATATATTTTATCATTAATTTAATATTACACAATTGAAATCTATAAACATATAATTATAAAAATTTCATATATGTCAATAAAAATAAATTGCTAACCAAATTTTAAATTTGGATTTTTTAAGTCATCTCAACATTACAGTATTGTTATTTTAATATAATGGCTTATAATGTGATAATTTTAAAGTTATGAATTTCATACTCTTTGAACGATCACTCTGAGCTGAAAATCAAGCCAATATATCAATATAAAACATATTTTTATCATAATGAAAATTGAATCGAATCAAATCAAAAAAATAATCAAAAAAAAATTACAAATCCTTGAAAAATTCCAAAG